AGTCGCACAAGACATTTTGGAAAGTTTGAAAAAAATTGAAGGACAAAATTTCGCCCAAATCAGAAACATGACAAGGGGACTGTCCCCGCGGTTTTATGAAAAAAATTATGAAATTATGCAAACTGGGCCCAAAAATGTGAAATTACGCGATTCTCTTAATTTTTTAACAAAGAACGATTTTAAGGAAAATAATCAGAAATTATGAAAAAAATTATTATATTTTGCTAAATTATGCGGGGTGCATAAAATCACGGGGACAGCTTGGGGAGCAGGTTGTTTTTCAATAAAAAAAACTATATATAGGAGGACAAAAACAAAGAAACTGAACAAGACTATACTGTAAGATATAGATGCCGTCTCTGTTTGAAACACAAACTTCTCTGGAAACTTCCAGAAAGTGATCTGGGCTGTGGAGGAATAACGTTGGGCTGTGGAGGAATGACGTTGACCACGTGCGTGCAAGTGGAGGGCTGCAGTCACCAATATCTGTTACAATATATTTGGCAACTTGGAGACACATGTGTCACTGTTCCCATAAAACTACGACAGCTACAGAGTTGAAAGTCGGCAAGTACCTGCAAAAAGATAGATAGGTCCCCATGACGGAGCCCGATTTTTTTTATTTATTCATTTCCTGAATTTAGAGAAATATATTTGACAAAAAGTTCCCGTCCTTCTTTGGCCTTTGTGATTATTCCACTGAGAAACAAAACAAATCTGCGCAGCTGTCCTTCACAGCGGAAGTGCCGGAAGTGATATTTCACGAGGCGCATTTTGTTTTCATGAGGAGAGTAACGATCTAGATCTTCTAAATTTTTTGCATCTCTCAAGATTTATTGCCCCATTCCAGTAGAGTAATGCACCGATCATTCCTTTCATCGAAAAGGGGACCAGCTAGTTTACAATATTTCTCTACCAGGGATGAAACGAAATCATTCATTCATAAAACATTTTTGGTCGTTTCATTCTGCAAACGGGATCATCAAGAAGTTCAGTCGAATCCGCTTAAAACAAAATCTGTGGGCTTTGATTTCCTTCCATTTATTGAGTTTTCTGTTTTGAGAGTTTGCTCAAAGAGAAGAAAAAGTATCAGGGATTTCATTTTCTGTCAGTTTCTGTCTGTGTCCAGCATAACTGTGTGTGGTTCAACCATGT